GCATTAAATAAAATTAAACTTAAGAGGACCACCAATTAGAACCCAAAGAGGATCCAAAGTTGGAATTCATTACAAACTTGAATTGAAAAAGATTGAATTGAAAGCGAAAGAGATATCGGAGAGGGCAAAGTTGAAGGTGTGTGAATTATAGCCTAATATCTACCCTATTTATGGATATTGGAAGTTGAAGATAAGAAGTGTCACGTAGATAAAAATTTTATCTAAAATTCCTACAACCAATTACATCTCGACAAAGGGCACTCAAAATCTGAGACGTAAAATTATTAAGATTCCTTTGCAAAGTTACTCACTTATCGACACGTGTCACTTGAAATTTGAGAAGTAAAATTATTGAGATTCCATATTGACAAGAAATCTGCAAAGTTGCTGACTTATCGACACTTGTCACTTGAAATCTGAAAAGTAAAATTATTGAGATTCCATATTGACAAAAAATCTACAAAGTTACTCACTTATCGACGCTTGTCACTTGAAATCTGAAAAGTAAAATTATTGAGATTCCATATTGACAAAAAATCTACAAAGTTACTCACTTATCGACATGTGTCACTCGAAATCTTATCCAAAAAAATTATTGAGATTACATCTCGAAAAATTATTAAGGTAGTTTAATTTTTTTTTTTTTGAACAAACGATATTATCTATACTAAAGGGGAGGGGGTAGGCTTAGCCTTACAATGGGCTAGCAATAATGTGGTTCAAATTCGTCTTTGGCGAAAATCGAACCTAAGACTTCTCACTTACAAGTGAAGAGGAATACCACTAGACTGTATTTTAATTTAAGTAACCATAGTAATTCAATTAAAATAATAAATTATGTTAGGTCTATGACCCTTTGGCCCTCTCGGTTGGAAATGATAAAAAATACGGCCTGAAACTGTTCATTACAATATTAATTTCTTGGAGGGCTATAAGGGTAAAACGAGCCTTTTGGCCCTCCTTCAGTTGGAGATGACCTAACTAACCTGGAGACACTGTGAAGGAAAAATTAGTATGCATAGTCTTTTTCTTCCTTCTTCGTGACTTCTATTCCAGAACATAAGACGTCTCTCCCATGTTTTTCAACTCAAATTTATTAGACAAGAAAAGTTTGTCTCATGGAGTAGGGTAAGATTAATGCTAGCTAGAAAAATGTATTCTTCATAGAGGATCACTACGAAATTCCTCCCACTTAATTTAAGATATGTGTACTCATTAGACGGATTTTCTACGATACCAAAAATTTGTCTAACTTGATCAAATTTCAAGTACATTGTCTTGAGCCTTGTTTCAAACCATAAATTGATTTCTTGAGCTTACACACCAAATTCTCTCTCCCTTATTAAATGAACCCTTGCTTCATGAAAATTTCTTCATCTAAATTGCCATTTAAGAATGCGGTTTCATGTAAAAAAAGTTGAATTGAGCTACAAGTGCCCCCTAAATGAATCTTTGGTAGATTCTGGAAAAAAAATGTTTTAGTTAATTCAATTCCTTCCTTTTGAGTGAAACCCTTAACCACTAATCTAACCTTATATCCCTTTAAGTCTTCCTTAGAATCTCTTTTGATTTTGAATATAGTCTTGCATCCTTTTAGTAATTGAACTAATTCCCAAACTTCATTCTTACTCATTGATTCAAGCTCATATTTCATGGATTTCAACCACTCTTCACTTTGAGAACTAATTATGACTTCTTTATATGTAACTGGATCATCAAACTCTCCCAAATTAAATTCAGATCCTTGAAACAACAAAGTCATCTGATATGAAAATGTGGGCTTTTCAGAAAAAAGAAAAAAAGAAAAAAAGAAGGTGGGGTTTTTATAGATGGGTTTAGTACTTGCGTCTTGCGCAAAACGAACTAATACAGATCGTATTGAATTTTGATGTATATTTGCTTGATGAAACAATTACAAGATGAAACATATATATAGGGAAGAAAAAGATCATAAGCCTAATTTTGCCTAACTTACCTAACTTGCTTGACTAACCTAACTTGCCTAACTTTGAACAAGAAAATTGACTAGCCTACCATTATTCCAACATGTTTATTTCATGCATTTTAACACTCCCCCTCAAGTTGGAGTGTGAATGTCGATGACACCCAACTTGCTAATTAAGACCTCAAATTGTGCCGAGCTTAGTGGTTTGGTGAACAAGTCTGCAGGTTGATTCGAGGTCCGTATGTAAGCTGTTTGCACCATTCCCATTTGAATCTTCTCACGTACTAAGTGACAGTCTATCTCTATATGCTTCGTTCGTTCATGAAACACTGGGTTCGAAGCAATGTGCATGGCAGCTTGATTATCACAAAACATTGTGACTGGTTGTGCATGATTTACTTGCAAGTCCTTCAAAATGTTTCTTAGCCATATAACTTCACAACAAGTAGTAGCCATAGAACGGTATTCTGCCTCTGCACTGGAACGAGATATTGTGTTTTGTTTCTTCGTTTTCCAAGATATCGGTGCTTGTCCAAGGAAGATACAATAACCGGTTATTGACCTTCTAGTGTCTTTACACCAAGCCCAATCAGCATCACAAAAGGCTTGTAGTTGTAGTGAACCTGTAGAAGGCAAAAGAATTCCCTGTCCAGGAGATTGTTTGATGTACCTGAGAACCTTATGCACCGCTTCAAGGTGTGGTTGTCGTGGCTTGTCCATGAATTGGCTCAACATATTAACCACATAAGTCAGGTCAGGTCGCGTGATGGTTAAGTAAATCAGCCTCCCTACGAGTCGCCTGTATGAAGAAGGATCATGTAGGAGCGTCCCATCAGTTTGTGTAAGGGACAGGTTTGGTTCCATTGGTAATCGTGAGGGCTTCGCACCAAGGAACCCAGCATCTTCTAGTATCTCCAACGCATATTTGCGTTGGCACAAGGCAATCCCTTGTTTAGATCTTGCAACTTCTATCCCCAAAAAGTATTTGAGTTTTCCCAAATCCTTTAGTTTAAAATGTTGGGAAATGAAGAGTTTAGTCTCTTCAATTTCTCTCAAATTGTTACCTGCAAGTATCACGTCATCAACATACACAAGTAATGCCATGAAACTGCCTTGACGGTTTCGGACGAACAATGAGTAATCTGACCATGATTGATGAAAACCAGCAGTCTTGAGAGCACTAGACAGCTTGATAAACCATTGTCTCGAGGCCTGTTTTAAACCATAAATGGATTTGTGTAATTTGCATACTCGTGTCTCCCCCTTTCGTCCGAACCCAGGAGGCAGGGACATATAAACCTCCTCGTATAAGTCACCATGCAAAAATGCGTTGTTCACATCAAGTTGATGAAGATGCCAGCCTCGTATGGAGGCAATACTCAGGAGGACGCGGACGGTGGTGAGTTTGGCAACTGGAGCAAAAGTTTCCCGATAATCAAGCCCCTCAATTTGACTGTAGCCTTTAGCAACGAGACGAGCTTTGTAGCGTTCAACACTGCCGTCAGGTTTAAGCTTCACCTTATAGATCCATTTGCAACTGATGGGATGTTTGTGAGGTGGTAAGGGCACAAGAGTCCAAGTGTGATTGTCATGAAGGGCAACAATCTCTTTTTGCATGGCGTCACGCCATTTTGGATCCTGAACAGCCTGCGAAAAACTGGTGGGTTCTTTGATAATGGTGAGGGTGGTGAGAAAGGTTTTGTGAGTGGGCGATACATGGTCATAAGATAAATAATGAGATATGGGGTGAGATGTACCTGATGACTGGACCATGCTTGTGGAAGATGTGGGAGCAACACGGGAAGGGAGGGCCACCTCAACATGAAAGTCCTGCAAAAATGTGGAAGTTTTGGTCGGTCGAGTGCTACGACGGAGTGGAGGTGGTTGGTCTGGTGATGGAGTGGTTGGAGGTGGGGAAGAGTATAGGGTATGTGAAGGTGTTGATAAGGTATCTGGTGGTGGAGTTGTAGTAGGTAAAGGAAATGAGAGTGGTGTGATGTTGGTAAGTGTGGGAGAGGTGGTGTTTATTTCTTCGGGTGCAAGGCTTGAGTGCGACTCAATGGGAGAGGTCAAGTCAAACGTGATGGGTGAGGGTGTAATGTTTGATGGAGACGGGGCAGCGGAAGTGGTATGATTTTGGAATGGAAAATGATTTTCAAAAAAAACAACATCCCTAGAAACAAAAGTCTTATTGTGTTTTATATCAAACAATTTATAACCCTTTTGACCATAAGGATACCCAAGAAAAATGCATTGGATTGCACGGGGGTCGAATTTAGAGGGCCTTTGGGCGTGTGTAGAAGCAAAACATAAACTACCGAAAACCTTTAAATGGGAATAGTTAGGTGCTTTGTGAAATAGTTTTTCGTAAGGTGTTTTACCTTGGAGAAGTGGAGTGCGTGTTCTATTGATGAGGTAGGCTGAGGTTAAGATTGCATCCCCCCAAAAACGTTTTGGCAAACAAGCTTGAAAGAGCAAAGCCCGAGCAACATTGAGCAAATGTCGGTGTTTACGTTCGGCAACACCATTTTGTTGTGGTGTGTTGACACAACTAGATTGATGTATGATGCCTTTGAGAGCATAAAATTGCTCAAGCTTAAACTCAGGGCCATTGTCACTTCGTATGATTTGAACTCTGGTATTGAATTGAGTCTCAATCATTTGAATGAATCCGACTAAAATGTCTTTTGTGTCAGATTTATGTTTCATCAAATAAACCCAAGTGCTTCTAGTGTAGTCATCTACGATGGTAAGGAAATACTTGGCACCTGAAATAGAAGCAACTTGATAACCACCCCAAATATCAATATGCAATAATTCAAAACATGATTTGGTAGAAATAGAGCTTAAAGGAAAGGGTGATCTTGTTTGTTTGGCCAATGGGCAAATTAAACATTTTTCCAAATCACAAGCCTTATTGTTAAATAAAGGTAATAACGAAGTGGCTTTATGAGATGGGTGTCCTAGGCGTTGGTGCCAAAGCTTTGGTGAGACGGTTTGAATATTGTTGCATGTTCCTTTCTTTGATGGGTCGAGGTAGTAAAGTCCATCCCTTTCAGTTCCTGTCCCAATCATCTTCCCCGAGCGAAGGTCCTGAACGACACAAAATTGGGTGAAGAAAATGGTGACATATAAGGAATCATAGGCTAGTTTACTGATAGATATTAAATTCAACCTAAAGAACGGCACACATAGGACATTTTCAAGGATAAGATTATGAGAGAAAACAACTTGTCCAATGTGAGTGACTTTGGCAACGGAACCATCTGGCAGTTCAACTGTATGATTTTCAACAGCTCGTGAGTGTGTAAGGAGACTAGGACTGCAAACTATGTGATCCGTGGCACCACTGTCCAGGATCCAAATACTTTTGGTTCCTTTACATGAAAAAGAGAAGGCTTTACCTGAAAATTCTTCATGAATAGGAGGATTACTGACTTGATTGGCAAATGATGATTTGTTCTTGTTCAACATCTGAAGGATTTGCTTGCAGTCCTCCTGAGAGAACGGGAAATTAGGCGCTGTCTCTTGCTTGTTACTTTGTGAAACTTGATTGCCCTTTGAAGAAAAGAGACGATTGGATTCGGTCTCTGTGGCTGCTTTCTGTTTTCGACAGAAATCGAAGGTGTGGCCTTTCCATCCGCAAAAAGTGCACTTGAGATGTGCACGACAATTTTTGGTGATGTGATTGGTTTTATTGCACTTTCCACATCGCATCTCCTTGTCTTCAGGTGTAGGTTCTCGCGACAGATTCTTCACTGCAAAGACAGCAGTTTCTAGTTGTGTGCTTTTCCCATTGGAAACCTCTGCCTGGCGTTCATGTCGAAGGACCAATGCATATGCCTTGTTCACCGTAGGCAGTGGTTCGAGAAGAAGAGTATTGCTTCGAACCGTAGCATACGATTCGTTCAGTCCCATAAGGAACTTCATGGTTTTCTGAGTTTCAACATATGAGTTCATCTCATTCTTTGTTCCACAACTGCATGCTGGAATGGAACACAAAGTATCACGTTCATCCCATAAACTTTTAAGTTTAGTGAAATAAGAACTTACACTCATATTGCTTTGGACGCAATCATGGATCTCGTTCTCAACATGGAACAGCTGAACTATATTCACATGTGAGAACCTCTCCTGCAGATCGGTCCACATTTGTCGAGCATCCTTGTAGTTGATGACACTCCCTGAAATCTCCTTTGACATGGAGCCTAGTAGCCATGTCTTGACCAAGTTGTTGCAGCGATTCCATTGCTACAGCTCCTCAAAATTATCCTCACTTGGTTTGTTGATCGTCCCATCAACAAAACCAAGTTTGTTCTTGACCGTTAAGGCCATACTCATGGATTGAACCCATGTGTTGTAGTTGTCTTCCACCAATGGTTGTGGTACGAGGATTGCACCAGGTTGATCCGAGTGGTGGAGATAGAGCGGGTGGTTGGGATTTTCCCATTTTGAATGAGAGGCCATGCCTAGAATGGTTGACCTCGTGGCTGCTTTAGAGCTGTGTTTTGTGGTTTTTTTTCAGATCACAGCTCTGATACCATATTGAATTTTGATGTATATTTGCTTGATGAAACAATTACAAGATGAAACATATATATAGGGAAGAAAAAGATCATAAGCCTAATTTTGCCTAACTTACCTAACTTGCTTGACTAACCTAACTTGCCTAACTTTGAACAAGAAAATTGACTAGCCTACCATTATTCCAACATGTTTATTTCATGCATTTTAACAGATCGGCTTACTAACAAGATAAAATTCCATGGATGAACTCCAATCTTATGGCAGTGGTGTGAAGTAGTCACCTTTTTGAGTAACTCCGTTGTACTTTAGTCTCTCATTTGTTCCTTAAAATGCTTTATTTGATTGATATGTATGTCACCCTATTGTCAATGTACTTGGTAACAAAAGCATAAACTCTTGCAAAAATACTAATTTATGGTGCCAATTTCTATACCAAGCCAAGCCTAGCTCGAGTTCTAAAAAAGTTTCTATGTTAGGAACCAAGCCAAGCCAAGCCTATTTGAATATTTTGAAGCTTGATTAAGCTTGGCTTGTATAGGAACCAAGTCAAGCCTAGCTCGAGCTCTAAAAACACACAATGTTAGGAATGCCTCTTTTTTTTTTTTTAATAAATATTATTACAAAAAAAGTGTTTATTCTAGTTGTTTTAGTATAATTACATTCTTTGATCGGTTGAGTTTCCATTTGTATTGGCATGATTATGTCAAATGTATTGACTTGATCATATCAAATGGAAACTTAACTGAATAAAGAATGTAATTATTCTGAACGAATATCTTAACCGCTAACTTAGTCTTTCATAAGTTCTTATTTCTTTTGGATTAAGTTCGTCTTTAGCATTGGATTTAAGCTCCTTAATTATATCCATAATCATATTTTTCAACAGATGGAAGAGATTTCAAAGATAAATATCATATTTTGTTAGGTTTGATAGCATAAGTATTGATTCCAACAGATTAGGACAACTGAATATGTTAATTAGAATATGACATCACTAATCCAACCAAGAAACATTAGGACAAACCTAAGGCCAACCAGGTCCCTTCCTGGAAACTAATCATTTCTTTGTTTGTTGTGCCTATTAGAGGCCTAATGTACTCACGATTAGAATAAGAGTATCTCAAGGCAACTCTATGCAGAGAAAGAGTATAAGTGTGAGTATACACAACCAAGAATGCAGAGAAAGAGTATAAGTGTGAGTAACCAAGACCCCAACTTTTAAAATTCAGTTAGAAGTTAGGACCACATCCACAAATCAATTTAAATTGCTTCCCTCCAAGGCTCCAACAGTGACTGCCAAACTTCCATTTCACTTTCAAGGAAATAGATTCTCTCCGGATCTCTTCCACCAAATCTACCAAATTAATGAATCTAGACCCTTGATATTTGATCCAACGGCTAAAGTTATTATAATTTTTAAAGGAGCTCTCTGTTTTTAGCCGTTCAATCAAATTTCAAAGGTCCGGATTCATTGATTGGATGGATTTGGTCCCACTTTCTGAGGCTTCAAACCATTTGTGATCTCCGAAAGAATGAAGTCAAACTTCCCATTGCATGCCAAAGAAAAAGAAACCAAAATCCCATAATCATTGCTGCATCCTGCAAATCTCAATGAAAACCCTAATGATCTGTCAATTTCTTCAACTCCTTGGATTCGTCTTACTGTTCACCAATTCCAGAGCAATTTCCCATCAAAATTTCCATAGAAAATTGGGCAATGCAACTAAAGCTCCATGCCCATTGAATGTCGACCTTCTCCACAAACTCATCACCCAAAACGCGCATCCATTCCCCTTGCAAGATATTGCGACCGTGTGCCAGTACATGATACAAGGAATCCGTCTCCTTCGATCAGAATATCTTCGAACCACTGGATTGTTTTCGTTGTCTCCAGATGTCCTGGATGCCTGCTGGGATTCGTATGTGAATCTAGTCAATGAATTCATTCCCGGGTTTGATATTAAGTCCACATGTGGCTTGAAGACCAATTTCATGTCACAAAGTTGTATGAACATCACAACAAAGTCTGATTTCGAAACCTTGGTTTCACGAGATGAGTTGCAACAAATGAAGGGCTCTTGTGATCAGTCTTTGAAGAACAATTCTGCTTGTAATTCCTGCGTAGATTGCTTGTCAAGAGTTCGCGCATCTTATCTCAGAGTTTCGAATGATGGCAATGTTTCGGATTGCAATGGCTGCCCGTTTATATATGCTGCAGCATTTTCCAACAGGTTTGGACCAACAGATATAGGGACTGCCAAGTGTTTGTTTCGGCTTGATTTCTCACCGTCTAATAAAAAGTCCGGAGACCCCAAGGCGGTGATGTGGGGGATCGCGGTTGGTTGCTTTCATGGATTTATCGGGGCATTGGTTGTGGTTTGGTTTCTTTGGATATGGCACAAGAAATGGAAGAGGAAGAAGAGGGAAACTTTGGCTCAAATCAAAGAAGTTTCGAGTGGGGAGATGGAAATTAGCGGTCAAATTAGTACTTCGATAAAGTTCAGCTTCGAGGAAATACAGAAGGCTACGAGGAATTTCTCAAGCGAGAACATAATTGGTTTTGGAGGATATGGGAATGTTTACAAGGGAATGTTGCAAGATGGCTCTGAAGTTGCATTGAAAAGGTTTAAGAACTGCTCTGCTGCCGGAGACCAAGTTTTCGCTCACGAAGTAGAGGTGATCGCAAGCGTAAGGCATGTGAATCTTGTGTCCTTGAGAGGCTATTGTATCGCTACGGTGAAGAGAGGAGGCCATCAGAAAATTCTAGCTTGTGAATTGATGCGAAACGGAAGCCTCTATGACCATCTCTTCCAACCGAAATCCAAGAAGCTTAGCTGGTCAATTCGCCAAAAGATTGCTCTTGGAATTGCTCGCGGGTTGGCTTATTTACACCATGGTGTGCAGCCTGCTATCATCCATCGTGACATCAAAGCGAGCAACGTGCTTTTAGATGAAGCATTTGAAGCGAAACTGGCAGATTTTGGCCTTGCAAAGTTCACACCAGAGGGGCAGACACATATGAGCACTAGGGTTGCCGGCACACTAGGTTATATTGCTCCAGAGTATGCTTTGTATGGCCAAATATCTCAAAAAATTGATGTGTACAGTTTCGGGGTTGTGCTGCTTGAGCTTTTGAGTGGGAAGAAAGCAGTTATAGAATTCAACGACGAGAATAGACCTTTGTTGTTGTCAGATTGGGCTTGGTCACAAGTCAGGGAAGGCAGAGTTTTGGATGTCATTGATGAATCCATGCCCGAATTAGGCCCGCCGGAAGTGAGGGAGAAGTATTCGTTGGTTGCTGCGCTTGCTTCTCATCCAGTTCCAAATGCTAGGCCATCAATGGACCAGATTGTAAAAATCCTGGAAAATGATGCCACAATTCCAACCATCCCTGACCGTCCATTTGCTCTTTTAGCAACATTCTGATGATGCACAGAGATCAGTGAGCTTCAATAGTTTGTGTCTAGAAATCAAACACGGCTGAACAAAAATTGATGCAGTGCATGAAAGAGAAATTCATTGAGCTCTCATATTTAAATGGCTAATTTATATTTTAGTAATTTGTATTTTGGTAAGTTGTGTTTTAATTATGTATTTGAGTTGGGACTTGATTATCATTTATGAAGTTTTAGTGGACTAGGAAGTTGTGTTAGCGTTTAATTAAGCAGTTGGCTAGGCCTTTTAAAATGCTAGAATTCTGGCGAGGGGGGGATGTATTTGAATGAATTTATGAACAGAGTTTGGCTATTTATCTTAGTCTCCTTCTCTAGCTGTGCGAGTGTTCGTCTAGTTGATTATCTGCCCTTTAACAGTCCCCCATCATTGGGTACCAGAGCTTTGCTATGTTCTTTGTGTCACATCCCAGCCCAGGCCCCCACCACATTCCGGGCTCGACTCCACCGTAGCACGATATTGTCCGCTTTGGGCCCCGACCACGCCCTCACGGTTTTGTTTCTGTGAACTCATACGAGAACTTCCCAGTAGGTCACCCATCCTGGGATTGCTCTCGTGGGAACTCGTTTAACTTCGGAGTTCCGATAGAATCCAAAGCCAGTGAGCTCCCAAAAAGCCTCATGCTAGGTAGAGATGAGAATATACATATAAGGCTTACATGATACACTCCCCTAGGCAATGTGGGATGTTACACTTTGGGTCGTTTCCACACTGTTTATGTAAAATGGTGGGACAAAGAGGTAGCAGAAAGCATGAACACCATATGAGCATCGTGGAATCTAAGGATGAAAGACACAAAGAACTTCAAGCACTTCGAAGACAAGTTGAGCAACTTAGTAGGCGAATTGAACGCCAAGAATCTCGTATGAAGCTTGGTGGGTCAAGACGCAGTAAATCTGATCATGAGGCAGAATTGAGGTGGTTTTACAATCCACATCACCATTCGTCTCAAGGGAATAAAAATCAATTATGGAAGCTTGGGATGCCAAGATTTCATAACTAGCTTAAGGCTGCGAAGGATTGTGTGGAAGATTACAAACCAAATGACGCTGAAAGATTAGCGTTTGAGGTTGAAGCACCAATTGAAATCAACAAAGTTTCAAACCTGGATGTAAGTCAATTTTCTTTGCCTTCTTATTTTGAAATTAGGTGTAAGGAAGATAAACTTGGAATTTCTCTTGAAGAAGAAACTCAATACGGATAAAGAAACCAAGTTTGATCAAATGGTTAGTGCTTTTGATTGGACTGTACCACCTATTTTTGATGAATATGTTGACAATGAAGAAGTGAACTTGAAGAATGTCAACCTCGACACTTTTCAGGACAAAACAATTGAATTTGTATCACTGAAGAACTCAACAAGTCTATGTCAAGAAGGGGTTTGTAAATCAGATTCTACGAGGGATATTTTGGCCTCTACTTGTGCTTTAGATGTGGAGTCTTGTGTTGATCAAACAAGCAGCAACATATTGATGGTTTTTGGTAATAGAGATGTGGTGTTAGAATTCAAAAATGGATGCACGCCACAACACATTGCCACACATGAGCAACCTAAAGTTTTGGAAGTTACTCTTACATTTGAGTTTCATAATCCGGTTTGGTATGACTTCATGCACACTGATTTAACCAAAAAAAATGGGAGAGTGAAAAGAGTTATTGCAATATTTGGAAGTTGATACATCCTCAAGAAATCTTTATAAACTATTGCGGCTTCTGGAAATAACCGCCATTTTTTTCTATTATGCAAATAAGTTGTTTGTTAGCTTGAAAAAGAAAACTAAGCATGCGAAGAAAAGTTGGTTACAACACTTTGGGTTATGGATCGATTTTGAATCAGTGAACTCGTGGGTGAGTTCTTTCTCACTTGGAGAGTTTGACGCAGTGCATGAAGGAGAAATTCATTAAGCTCTCATATTTAAATGGCTAATTTATATTTTAGAGATTTGTATTTTGGTAAGTTGTGTTTTAATTATGTGTTTGGGTTGAGACTTGATTATCATTTATGAAGATTTAGTGGACTAGGAAGTTTTGTTAGCGTTTAATTAAGCAATTGCCTAAGCCTTTTAAAATGCTAGAATTCTGGAGGTTGGGGGGGGGGGGGGATGTATTTAAATGAATTTATGAACAGAGTTTGGCTCTTTATCTTAGTCTCCTTCTCTAGTTGTGTGAATGTTCGTCTAGTTGATTCTCTACCCTTTAACAGTCCCCCATCAAAAATGTACATTTACTATTATACGTTCATCCATTTGTGATATATAGGAACTTATCTGAGCGAGAAGGTCATTGTAGCAGTATGTGATTGGTTTGAGATAATGTCATAACATTGGGACGGTGAGTGAAAAAGTGTTTAATTCATTCATGAATGAGATGGCTTTTACTTAATTAACTTAGAGAAATGTTACGCTACTTAGTATTACAGTTTAGTGATATTTTTCTTTCTTGTAAATAACATGTCTTAGATTCGATTCTTGTCGAAAGAAGTTAATTCGAACTAAATTATTATAGCTATCCAACTATATAATTTAGTCCAAACCCCACCCCTTACTATAAATATATTATTATATACAAAATAACATAGAGAAATGTTTCAAAAGCCTTCGATGTTAATTTTTGCTTTAGAATTAAAGATTCTGAAGGAATTAATAAGAAATGAGGTCAAATCCATGGTTGATCTCGGGCTAACAATTTAATTGAACTAGAGCAAAAACATATGTCTGAACTTTCAGTTCTAGCCTAAACCCCAAAAAGAATCGGCTTATTAGAGCTGGGGCGGATACAGCGACACTGCTTCTCCGGTGTGCAGTCGCCTGATTTGCAAGTAGGGAAAATATACATGCAGTCTTGATCAGTATTGCAATAGGGAAATTATTTCTTTGCTTCAACATATTGCTGCAGACCTGCCAACAATTTATTTACTGTTAACAACTAGAAAATTTACAGGACTGTATCAATTTAAATAATAGGGATTACTTAGTAGGCTTTGTGCATGGTATCTTAACATACCATGGGGTTCTTTACAGTAATACATTTAGTCAAATATGCAATGACCAAGATCTAACCGTCAATAATTTTATAGGATAAGAGACTCTGAAGCATATTAAAATTTTCTCAAAGAGTAATACTTTATCAGATGCCATAACCATGAGCATAATCACCAAAAAAGCCATTTTTGATGAAGACTTGTCCGTATCTTTTTGACCTTGCAATTAGGTAGCAGGAATGTCTAAAGATAGTTGTGGCGTTTGCTGCTGCACTGAAGTACTTGAAACCCTAAAACCAGTAGCGTATATTTCGTTGTGTCACCGAGATTCTCTTGCCATCGCAAATCTTGTCGGATTCATTTAGATTGATCTCTCATTGATTGTAATTGACCGTAATCAATTAGACTAGCTATTCAAGTCAACCATTGTATACTACATATGTTTGTACTATTACACAAATTAATTTAAAAAAAAAAATCAATTTCTACGTGGTACCTGAGCATCCATGAACACATAGAAGATGCATGAATACTTGTCCGTCTCAACCTTTAAACACTTGTCATGCTTATTAATTACGTTTTTTTAAGGGAAAAGCTGATTAATAGGATGCAATGTAGCTAGGGAAATAATCGACTGTAGTAAAAAAACCTTGTCATGCTCATTACTTGATCACAATCCCTCTTTTTATTTATGCCTTCGATTGATTTTCATATGTTTTCTCTCGTAATTTTGATGTCTTATGATAAAATGACGCTTGTAATTTCTCACTACTTTAATGTTATGTATTGTGTATATAGTTATATTCTCCACTGTTCTAAAAATCTCCGTATAGGCCCCGTCCCGATTAATGCCTAGGCGTTTGAAAATTAAGAAGTGGCGCCTAGACCGCCTAAACCCATCTAGACACCTGCTTAGGTTGCAACTTACTTAGATAGAAAATAAATAACTTTCCTTTTGCATTTTATTGTTTCCAATAAATTATAAGAGACTTATTGAACATTTAAATAAACACACATTATATGTTTGCTCCTCATATTTTCATTATGTTCCAATATTTCATAATATATATATCATTTTATTTTCTAGTTTATGATGAAATATATATAATTTAAGTATAAACAAACACTTATTTACACGAAATACAATAGATTCACTTAAATCCGCCTAGTCCGCCTAGGCTCTGCTAGCCACCTAGGTGCTAGGCTCCAACCCGCTGCCCAACTAGTGCCTAGCGTCTTTTAGAACATTTATACATAGTCTGTACAACAAGTAATTAGGGATACAATTCAAATAAAGTGAACTAGCGAAAGAGAAAAAGAAAGAAAAAAAAAAAAACCAATATGTTGTCCACTATTACCTTTTTGCCCTCGAACAATTGCAATGTGTTGTGCACATGACCAAGATGGATCGGATATTGAATGAAAAATTCGAAAACATAACACCATAGGGGAAATTGGCCAATTATAAAAGTTCAAGGGGATAAACGGCTAAAATTAAAGTTCTAGGGAGAAATTGACCAATTATAAACTGAAGGTTAGGGAGAAATTGACAACTCCTTACAAGTTCTGGGAAAATTAACAACCTTTGCACTAATCTTTGCATTTTAACTTTTTCACTTCTTTACATGACACACTTTGATTGAGTAATTATATTTGTTGGATTCTAGTTATCGGAGTTTAGCCAAGAAAACAAAGAATTGAGTTTGACGAGGAAAACTTAAGTTTGGTGGATATATCCAGTTGCACATGCTAACCCAAGTCAATTCACGAGGTTTTTTAAAGCCACCGGTGAGATACATGTGAAATACGTGCTGGATCATCATTAAGACCAATATACCTGCCAACCATCGTTGAACTGATCGGATTAACCAACCAAAATTAGCCTGTGCACTACAGGAAGGGTCCTTGTAAGTAGATGACTCGTCAAGTAGTCAGAGCAGGGCTTCTTTGGCAAATTGTCAAAATTCTTCCCCATATCACACAATCCATGTTCTCTTTTAGCACTTGCTGATAACACAGAGAGACCAAGAGTATCTCCTAAGGTCCTCAATTTTGACGCTGGGTTGTAACTAACTGGGTTTTATCAGTAATATTCAAATCTAGTTAGTTACAAAGCACCAAAAAATTCGAGATTGTGTGATTTCGAAAATTGAGATCCTCTTCTTCTTGAAGGCGTGAACC